GCGCCGAGCTCCCGGCTGGCTCCGGCGCCCGGTGGCCGCGGAGCCGGCGGAGAATTTATGAATGAAGAGCGCGGAGCGCGGGGGAAGTGGGAGCGAGAGGAGGGGCCGCGCACGTGACCGCGTTGGCAGGGAGCCCGCTCCCACCTAGCCGGTGGCGCCCGGTACCCGACTGGCCGCCCCCGCCGCGCTTTCCGCCGGGTCTGGCTCGCTCCTGGCCAGCCACCGCCTCCCCTTCCCTTCCGGTGGGGGCGGAGGGCGGTGCCTGCGCTCCCGAGCGACCCCTCCCCATGCGGACCCGCCCTCTCCCGCCCCGGCGGAATCCCCGCCCCCGACCCCTACGGCGCTACTCCCCACCTCCTAGTCACGGAGAATGAAGGGGGGGCAAGGGGTTGGGTCTTGGGATACACCAGTGACCCTCCATCGCCTCCCCAATTTGGGGGTGTTCCCAGAAAGCACAGCCCAGGGGCTCAGTCACATGACCCCCTCCTCCTCTCTTGGCCCGACAGCCACTATAGGGCTCACCACGCGCCATGTTTTGTTGGTACCAGCAAATGTGCAAAAAAAATAGAACTCTATGCATGCCGACTGCCCCCGGGGCCTGCCCGGCACCAGTGATACCAGGACTTACCTGAACAGACATCCCATTCCTGCTCCTCCATCTTGCCTCATCTTTCCAAATGCTTAGGCCACAAACTTAGTGTAGCCTGCCAACACCTGGTGGGAGATCCGTGCCAGCCTCACAATGACATCCCCTCTCCTCCAGTGAAAACCAAAGGCCCAGTTCAACCCCAGGGCCTTTGCACCGGCTGATGGTCACAGCCACTCTTTCCCTATTCAGCTGCAGGATTCCTTCTCTGGTCTCCTCCAACTCTTTGCCAAATGGCACAGTCTCAGGTGTCTCCTCTTGGCTACCTGTTCTAACAGCAACTTTACTCTCCACACACTCATCAACCGGTGTACTTTGATTTCTGTGGGTCTACACCCTTACTGTGTATTTGCTTCATTGTGATGTGTGCCTGTCTCCACACTGAGTTCCAGGACAGTTTCTTCACGGCTGGGTTCCAAGCGTAGCCCAGGACTGGCACACAGCAGGGAATGTAGTGATACCATTAAAGGGGAGCAGGGGACAATTAGGTAGACGCAGGATCGCTGGTCAAAGCAAGTGGACAAACTTGCAGATGATCAACCTGCAGGGAGGTGCAGGGGACACCATCTTGTGGTTTTCCAGCAGGTGAATGACATGGCTTCAGATTTTAGTACGACACTCTCTGGCTTTGTGTGAAGGCACCCATCCACCGTGAGGCCTGAAGTGGATGGGCCACTCAAGGCAGAGAGGGTCGCCACAGTGGCCACGCCATGCTGGACAGCCAGGCCTTGTGGAGAAGCCGACGAATTCCTGGATGACTCCGGGTTGGGGTTACAGTAACAGGTGGAGCCTTCAACTATGGGTCGCCCTGGAGCGGGGACCGGAGAGCATTTACCACACAGACGGATATGGGAAGCCTATTACCTCCACATGGGATCCAGGGAACATGGGGGCTGCGCACAGGACACGCGCTGCGAACGTGAACATGATCTTCTGTACAACTGCCTAGACCTAGGGCCAGGATGCCCAGGACAGTGAAACTGACGCCCTCCACCCCAAGGGAGGAGTGAGCCGCCTCACAAGCCCAGTCCAGTAGGAAGTTGCCTCCTGGCCCTACCCTCCTGGGGCAGTCCGGATCCTGGGATACAAGGGTGCGCCCACAGGCGCACCGGGCCCCTGCAATGAGCTGGGGCGCACGCAGCCCCTGGGATGAGTCTAGGGGCGAGGGAGCTACAGTAGCAGCACGGGTCTCAAGTCCAGCAGCCCGGAAAGCCACCTGCCCAGACCCGGCTCAGCCGTGGCCACGCCCCCTCTCCTGCGCCAAGATCCCTTCTGCGGCTCAAGCTAAGTCCTTCCAGCCCCGCTCGGCGTTTTCTGGGAGCCCAGGGGGTGGGGGCTTAGAGGCAGCGCTCGGCGGCCAACCTGCGTGAGCGCGGGGGCGGGGCGGTGACGTCAGCCCTGCGAGCGAGGCTGCGCGGGCCGCCTGCGAAAGCGCCCTGACGTCAGAGGCGCGCGGGGGCGGTAGCCGAGCCTGGTAGTGACGAGCGCATTTCCGGGAGGCGGGCGCCCCCTGACGCTGAGCGCGGGGATTGTAGTCGCGGCTCGTCAGCACCGCCTGGGAAGCCAGGTCCGGGGTGTCTGCACCTGCTCCACCCCGCCCCCTCTGCTTCTTTTCTAAAAAGTATGTGTCACCTAACGCCGTACGCTTTGCTTATTTCGTTGAATTGCTTTTGAACTCTCCAGCCACCTCAAACCAGAGCCGGAATCTTGATTATTTTGATGATTCCCCAGCGCCTGATATCCGGTGAGCGCCCCTAAATCTTGAATGTGACCCTGATCTCCGTTGTGCAGGCTTCTGGCTGTGCCTACCATTACGGTCTGAACGACCCCGCGCCGGACCGCGAGGCTGAGGGCCGGAAGTAAACTACAATCCCCGGCATGCCGCGCGCCCAGGCTGCGCGTCGTCGTTGTCAACGTCGCGTGCGGCCCGCCGGGAGTCGTAGTTCGCGCGTGCGCCCTTGCCCGGGTTCCTTCTCCCAGACGTCCCCGCGGGCCGTCCTCCTCGTCCTCCAAGCCGCCAGTGTTTGGCCGTAGTCTGCCTGCCGCCGTAGCTGCCGCTGCCGCAGCCGCCATGCTGCCCGCCGCGCTGCTCCGCCGCTTCGGTCTGGGCCGCCTCGTACGCCAAGCCCGTGCCTACGCCGAGGCCGCCGCCGCCGCCCCGGCCCCCGCCGCGGCTCCGGGGCAGATGTCCTTCACGTTCGCCTCGCCCACGCAGGTTCGGACACGCGGGCTGGGCTCAGACCCCGCGAGGGTCGCCACTCCCTGTCCGCACCCGCGCCCCTGCCCCTTGCGGTCTGGGAGCCGAGTTCCCCAACCCCCAGGTCACCGATCCGCAATAACGAGCCCAGACCCGTGGTCATCCCGCCTACCTGCTGGTCTCCGGATCCTCCAACCTCCAGGCCACCGACCTCCCGGGCTCTGTCACCCAAGGGTCGAACTTGCATCTCAGTCTAAGTTGCCCCTTTCCCGGTGTAAGCTCTGGCGTTCCCCTCACAGGCTGGGGTGCCCCTAAAGACTTTTCCTGGCATTTTCTTGCAGGTGAGAGCAGTGAGGCATAGTGAGGCCAGGGGTCCTGCTGAGGACCAGAGCTGAAGCAGCGGGCCCCAGCTCACTGCCTCTGTGCCCCATCAGTCCTTAGTCATGCCATGCCTTTGCTCCTTTTCTGTTGGGGAGACTGAGGTCTGGCTTTCGTGGGACCCACTTCCACATGTGTCCTCCAGGTGTTCTTCAATGGTGCCAACGTCCGGCAGGTGGATGTACCCACACAAACAGGAGCCTTTGGCATCCTGGCAGCCCATGTGCCTACCCTGCAGGTCCTGAGACCAGGTCTGGTTGTTGTCCATGCTGAGGATGGCACCACCACCAAGTACTTTGGTAAGTTGTGTGTGAAGGGAGAGCCATGGACTGGCAGGGAACACACACCCCTGTGTGTGAGATGGAGGTGGACGCCCATCTCAGCTTTGGCAACGTGAATTTGGCAAAGTGCTCAGGGCACCGATGTGGGCATCAGGAAGCAAGCTAAAAGCAGCCTGGGTGCCTCTGCTGCAGACGGCTGTGGTTAACTGGCCTAGGGGAGACTAGAGAGGCAGTGTGGTGGAAGCAGAAGTAACTGCCCCTCTGGGAAGGCACAGCCAGCGTAGAAGTCTGTGCTGACCGAGCCACACTGAGAAAGTCATTTTGTCAGCATTACTGAGTCCAGACGCTAAGGACTTGAACCTGGCCCTTCTGGTAGGAGGAAGAGGCTCTGTACCTGTGTCCATAGCTGTGCAGATGTCCCCAGTGACGGCCTGACCCCCCCGTGCCCCTTCAGGCTTCCCTCTCACCCTAGAGTGACTAGATGCTTATCCTTGGGTCTGGTCCTCGGGGATCAGCAGTTGCGCCCGTACATACCAATCAGTTGCATACCAATCAGGGTCTTGCTGGGGCTTCTGGCCCAGTAGGCCAGCAGGCCTCGTGCCCGAGATGGCAGTCTCACCTCCCCACTCCCACACTGCAGTGAGCAGCGGCACAGTCACGGTGAATGCAGACTCTTCAGTGCAGCTTCTGGCCGAGGAGGCAGTGACTTTGGACATGCTGGACTTGGGGGTGAGTGTCTCAGGGAGACAGGCATCCAGCAGGTGAGAGTTACCTCGCACGCCTGCCTGCTGGGGAGGGGCCTCTGGGAGGACCACCTGTGGGACTGGGGTTCCTGCTGGACCCTCACTACCACCTACTTCCGTAGGCAGCCAAGGCGAACTTGGAGAAGGCGCAGTCGGAGCTGATGGGAGCAGCAGAAGAGGCCTCAAGAGCTGAGATACAAATCCGAATTGAGGCCAATGAGGCATTGGTGAAAGCCCTTGAGTAGGCGGTGCGTGTACCCCTCTCCCGGAGGGGAGTCAGAATCTATAGCTGGGCCCTAGGGTTCTGGGGGTGTGGCATGGAGGCCAGCTGCCCGCCCCTGGCCTACTCTAGTAAGGGGGAGAATCTCCTTGGCACAGAGACCACTAGGGGGCAGCACAGGCCCGGCCTCTGCCCAGGTGCACTGAAGGGCTTCACCCCAGCCCTGGCCTGCCTTGTGTCACACCTGGTAAACAAGCCCCCTGCCAGCTCTGGGGCTGGGTGGGTGGAGGCGCACACAGAGACCTGCTCAGCCCTGCGGGAACTGTTACCATTCCTTTGGCCGAGGGAGCCCCACCTGACACAGCCTGTCACCCATCTGCCCCTGCAGTGCCTGCCAGATACCGGCTTCCAGTTACCTCCAGGGACAGCCTGCTCGTAACCTCAATTAAAGACCGAGGAGCCCAACTGTGTACACTGGCTTTGTCTCCTGCTGGCGTGGATATTGGGTGGGGTGCAGGCTTTACCCTAAGAGGGTGGGGTGGGGACAAGCAAAGGTCGCCAACAAGGGCTAGGGTAGCAAGCAGGGTGTGGCCGCTGCTCCTGAGCCAGGCCTGGGCTTCTGGACAGACACCTGGGACTCTGCCCTGCAGGCCTCAGCTCCTCCTCAGCCGCCTGGGAAAAGGCAGGTCCTGCCTGCTCCCACGAAGGCGCCACCCTCTGTTCCCCCGCTTGTGGGCGGCCCTGGCTGGCTGGGTACTGATTCCCTGGTGGCGTTAGCACCTCCATGGCACCAGGCCCTGGGCGGGCCCCAGATGGGTGGAGCATGTGAACGGGGGCAGTGCTGGCACCGCCCAGGTGCTGTGCTATTCCACCCCCTCGCTGCAGCTGCGGAACCCATTCAGGCACTGGCCTCAGCTGCAGGCGAGAGTCTCCTCGCCTCCTTCCAGCCCTGGGCCAGTGGCTGCCAGGGGATTCCAGGAGAGTGAGTGTGTGGGGGCATTGGGCCTCTTCATGTGTCATCAGCAGCCAGGAGGTGCCAGGAGGTTGGCCCTGAGCGTGTTGGCATGGGTGGGCTATGCACGCATGTCATGGCCCCACAGGTGACTGCCCTGTGACCACACGTGAGGGTGGATAGGATGGGAGGCTCAGGAGCCCTGGGGGGCACCCAAAAGGATGCCCTTGGACTGCTGATGCCCAGGCAGCTGCCTCCTTCTCCCCAGTAACCAAGAGCCCAGAGAAGGATGTGACCGCCTTGCAGTCAAGGTGCAGCCCCACCCTCCCATATCCCGGCTTGGCTGGGAGCCCACGTCCTAGAGTTCCTGGCCAGGGCCCTGTGCTATAAATAACGCCAAGGACGCAGCAGGGAGGCCTTCCCAGACCCTGGTCCAGTGCCACCCATACTGGACTTTCTATCTGCTCCTATCTGCTCCCTGGAGCAGAGATGGCATCCCTGGTGGGGGATTCAGCTGGGTCCCTGCACAGTGCAGGCCCTGGGGAGGGGGGCAGTGAGCCTTGCAGTTGAGTCTCAAGAGCCCTGAGTCTGACGTCAGTCTTCAGGGATGACCCGCGCTGACCTGTCCTGAGGCTAGAGATTCCTTGGATGAGTGGGGTCACAGGGCTAGGAACCAGGGGTCAAGACTCTCTTGGAAGGGACAAGATGGTGCCTTTGACTTTGTCCCCCTCCTGGGACAGATCAGATACACCCAGAACTGGAATAAGGAGATACTCCAGAGGGGGAAGAAAACACGCCAGGGTGTCTTAACTCATTTATTAATTTGGACTTGCTGGGCCAGATACACACCCTTCAGTGACCCCCACTTCCAAGGGACTGATCTGCAGAACCCATTCCTGGACAGGAGCCACATCCCCCAAACAGTGTAAGAGGTCTGTGATCAGGAGCCTTACCTTCCCGGCAGTAGGGTCCGGCCAAGCGCACAGGACCTCCCAATCCCTGAGGGGCAGTCACTATACCCCCATCTTGTGCCCCCTTTTCTCTGAGCCCCCAGCCACACTCTTATCCCGGCACTAGTTAATCACTCCATAAACGCCCTCTGAGGTCACCGTTAAGGGATGCAGGGGCAGCTGACTTGGCAGCTGCAGGGGCACCCCCACTCCGGGCAGGTGACTAGGGCCTGTTTTCCTGGACCGCAGGCGCTGACTCAGGGCCCCCCCTCTTACCGCCCCCTCACGCGCGGCGCCCCCAGGCGGAAGCACCCGACCTAGGGGGCGGGGCAGGGAGCCAAACTGGGTATCCCGAGGCCGAGAGCAGGGGTGCGCCCTTCTCGGTGCAGCCGATCGTGACCCCGGGTTCAACATACAAGGAACGCTGCCCCCACCCCATTTATGGGGCGAGGCCTAAGGGATGGCCCAAGCCTGACGGCGCCCTAGGGCCCAGACCAACAGGCAGGGGCGGGGGCCGGTCTGCGTCACCGGCCGCCCGGCCCCTCGCCCGCCCAAACTCCACCCCGAGGGAAGACCGCGCGGATAAAGGCTCTGGGGGCCGCCCGTTCAACCCCAAACCTGCCTGCCACCACAAGCTCTCTCCGAACTTGGGTGTACGTTGAGACTGTTGAACTGTTGAGACCTCAGACTGGCCGCGCCGGGTGAGTGGGGGGCGGGTCCTCACGGGCCGAGGAGGGGTTCTCCCCTCGGTTCTTAAGGGTGTCCCACTTTTCTTTGTTCTTTGGGCAGGGAGGATTCGAGCCGTCTCCAGAACCCCGGGGACGTGGGATGGGAGGGGCTCAGCGCACCCAGCACCGCCCTGGTCGGACCTCAGCCCCCGCCCCCCCGGCACTCCCCCTCCCCGCGCGTGACCTTGAGCGAGCTGCCGCTCCGGCCTCAGTTTCCCCGACTGTGCGGCCTTAGTTTGCGGACTTGGAAGCTTCACGCTCCTAGCGGGACTCCCCTACGCTCACAGTCCGGGAAGCCTCCCCCGACCCGGGTAGCCTAAGCCCCCTCCCCGGCACTCTGGGCAGCGCTCCCGGGCGGGGTCGGCAGAGGGCGCGCCAGCGCTGCTGACTCACCGCAGCCCGGAGCGGCGCGCTGGCGCAGCCAGGGTCGCCGGTCACGTCAAGGTTCGGGCGGGTGCGACACGGGACACGGGCCGGGCTCGCGGGACGGGAGTGAGACGCGAGGTGACACCGGCTCTGGAGGAACCTTCCCGGCACCGGCCACGTCACCGAGTGCAGGCCCCGCCCTCACCCCCCCCCACGGGGCCGACCCTCCGGCTAGCCGCTGATCCCGGGAGCAGCCACGAGGCGCGGGGTTCGCCCTCCGCTTCCGCTCGCGGCTGCCTCACGGAGGGGCGCGGCAGGGACTAAGCCCGCACCCCAAGCCGCGCCGCGCGGAGCTAGGTCAGACCAGGGCGGGCACCCGCCTTTGTTGCGGACGGCCTGCGGGGGCCGACGGCCGACTGCCCGCGCGCCTTTGTTGCGGGCGCCGGGTCTTATGAATGGCCCCCGGCG